GTGAGAAACAGCATTCTCTTCACAACTGAACCCAGCAATGAAGATTTTAAGAGCTAGAAATCCAGGAAGTCTGCTGTTAAATCTCTCTTAGAAATCGTTGCATAAATAGGACTGAAATTATGGCAATGCCAATGAACATGTTTATGTGGAAGGGGAAATTGCATGGGTGTCCCACTTCCAGGCCAAGAACTCCAGGCAACTGGTGACTGCTGGGAGAGGAAGAATTATCACCTCTAGGACTGAGCCCCCTCACTGCTTGTTCGCTATGAAGTGGACAACCTTGAAACAGCATGCTTACAAATAACCAAACGGACTCAGTCCGTTGTTTTTATATATTTTTGCAAACTTATACACACACATATATAAGGAATGATCAAAGAAAAGGCTACCAGAGCATTGTGGGGCACAGGTGGAATTCAAGGGAAGGCACTTGGTAGGGATGGAGGGAAGAAAGTGAAGGACAGAAGAGGTGCAAAATATTGTCATTAAAAATCTATAAAAATTAAAAAGAAAAAGTCATTACTCATAGGAAGTGCATAATGAAAAAAGAAATGAAAAAGAATTCTGTACCAAAGTTTTCTAAATAGTTTGAAAATGAAAGAATGGATTGGTTTGTGCTGGGACTGAGTGAGAATAATTTGATGATAAAGAAATTTAAAATCAAAATGGCAGATGAAAGAAAAGAATGATATAAATAGCAAAGTAGTATGAGGCAAAAAATACTTTCTTTTCTCAAAGGCATACAGTTAGAAGAATTAATTAAAAAGAATAATCAAAATTAAATAGAAATATGAACCTGAAGAACATATGATGCTTTTAACAGTGGAATTGTAAACACAATCTTTGAACAGAAGTAAGTAAACATGGAAAATAGACATATATTTCAATGCATGATAAAATATTTTATGAAAAGTTTTAAAAGACTGTGTGAAAGTATTTATGTTGCAGAAATAAATACCATTAGAAAGGCAGATGTCAATTATATTAGGTGTTATAGTTTATATTGCAAGAATGAAAGAAAACCTAGAGATACCTTCTTTGTAGCAGTAATTCTCCAAATAGGAAAATGTGTGATTTAATTAGAGCCTCTCAGGGCTACGAGACCACATGTGCCAAGAGCGCCACACAGAGAGCTGTGGAAATAAAAGCCCACCTGTCAGTGCATGCACAGTGTTGTTCAGGAAGGAGAGGGAGGGAGGCATGTTGGAATGAAGACAGTTTTTGTTGTTCCTAATATGAACTAAAATTATAGGATACATGTTTTCAATTTTGTCCAGGCCTTTGGGAGTCAAGATTTTAGAAGTAAGAAAAAAAAATGATATCTAAAATAAAACAACTCATTCCAAGTAGTGCCTTTGGGAAGCTGAAGCAGGGATGACAGAATTCATTTCTGAACAGAAAGCAAAGGCAATCAAGACTGACCCAATAGTGAGGAGCATCCTGATGGCTGGATGTGGTCTCCAGATGCCATGGACACCTGGAAGGAGTCACATATGCTTTGAACAGTGGTTGGTTGTGGAACTTACAATGAAAGTATAACAAATGAATCTGGACATTGTTCGGTACTAGACAACATGGAACCAGTAAAAGTACAGCTGGGCCATTTAATAAGGACAAAAGCAAATCAGTCATTTGCCACATAGGGTGACCTGGGTTTCAGTGAGACTGAGAACTCTAATGTATTGATCAGGTTGTGTGTGTTTTCTAGGCCCCTCATTAATGCTGCTGCTGTTTTTTCTGTACCTTGTGACCTAAAACAAAACGATGATTCCTTTTTATAGAAGCTTCACAACTATGTTCATAGCAGCATTGTTTGTCATAGCCAGAACCTGGAAACAACCTAAATGCCTCTCGACCGAGGAATGGATACGGAAAATGTGGTACATTTACACAACGGAGTATTATACAGCAGAAAAAATAATGACATCTTGAAACTTGCAGGCAAATGGATGGATCTAGAAAACATCATATTAAGTGAGGTAACCCAGACCCAGAAAGACAATTATCATATATACTCACTCATAAGTGATTTTTAAACATAAAGGAAAGAAAACCAGCCTACAAATAATAATACTATAGAACCTAGAAACAATGAGGACCCTAAGAGAGACATACATGGATCTAATCTACATGGGACATAGAAAAAGACAAGATCTCCTGAGTAAATTGTAAGCATGGGGACCATGAGAGGGGGTTGAATGGAAGGGGAGAGAAAGTGAGGGGAGCAGAGAAAAATGTATAGCTCAATAAAATCAATAAAAATAGAAGGTTCAGAAGACCCATCGGGGACAGAGAAACAAGAGGACAGCACTGAAAACCAGCAAACCTGAGAAGAGCTGACTGAGTCTGCCTAGCTCTCTTCCCCAACTCGGACCAGAAAGACCCTACAGTTAGTTTGTTTCTGTACCAACCGCTAGGCATGCTGGGGCCTTCCCTGCTGGAAGAGCAGAAGCAGGAATGAATGTCTATGGAAAAATCCAAAGTTGGCAAGGACAGTGGGGAGGATGGACAAGTGCTCAGATGGGAGAGAACCAGACACACTTCTCATCCACCTCCTCTCTTCAGATAATACTGGAAATACAGTGTGCGTTTCCAATTCATAGCTGAGCTATAAACTCCAGGACTTTGGCTAGTCAGTCTGCCAGTGTCTACTGTTTCTAGTTCCAGAAGGTTTCTCTTTCCTTGGCACCAGCCCCACTCCCACTCATACCACCATCCGAGGTTGAGATACAGCAGCCATCAATGTGGGAAGTGAAGAAAACACCATTCTGGGGCATAGGTACTCACCCTGGCTGTTGTTCCAGGCTCTTCCTTCTGCATTGGAGGGACTGAGATTTATCTCCCTACACAGGGAGTTGTGGCAGCAGCATCTGTCTCCAGGGAACATGTGGTCACAGAGGAATCATTCCACTCAGCTCCTTGGAGCTTGGCCTGACATCCAGAGAAAGGCAGCTCAGGATCATAGACTTCAGAGCAACCCATTAAGTTTGAGTTGTGGTCAGAGACTGGTAGCATCCATGGCTCATTTGAATTTGAAACCCTTCCAGGATAAAATTCCTGAAGCACCCTTTGGGCCAGCGGACAGCCATGAGTCCTGTAGAATTTCCCTGACTTCGCATAGCGTAGGGATAAGGAACAATGGGGTGGTGCCCAGTGGTATCCAAACCTAGTGTAGGGGAGTCTGGGAAGGCTTTAGAGGAAGTGAGCATGGACAGACTTCTAAAGACTGTGCAGAGGTCTCAGCTCTCATTCTAAAAAGACCAGGAGTAAGATTTTGAATCTCCTCAGTGATTCTGCTGACACTCCTGTTTTAGGACTAACCTAATCAATAAGAAAGTGCAATAACGACAAAAGTTGGGCATGGCAAAATCATGACTCACAAGCCAGTCAGATTTGGATTTAAATTCTATCTCTCACCATGTATGGCCTCTCCCCCAGGTCTGTCTCAGCTGTTAGAGAACTCCATGTACGTCAGCATTATCCTAAGTCCTTCTGTAAATCATATGGGGCTATGAACTACTTCATGTAGGAATATTAGAGTTGTTCAGTCCTTACAAAAATCCTCACAAACCATAACTAAACAAGTTTTAAAATAACGGATAAGAATCTTGAGCAGACATTTCCCAGGATACCTGCAAATGGGCCATGAGAACATGAGAAGATGCTCAGTGTTGTTGACCATAGGGGGAATTTAAACCACAGTGAGATGATACCTCCTACCTGTTAGTTATTATAAAACAATAAAAAGATAAAGAGATGACAAGTGTCATCATAGATTCATAAAGAAAGGGATTGCTGTATATATGGGTGCGGATTTAAAACGATGCAATGGAGTTTTCTCCAAAAATTAAAAAAAAAGCACAACTATTGTATGATCCATCAGTCCCACTATTGGGCACCCAGCCAAAGGGAATGAGGTCAGATCCTGAAGAGTCATCAGCACGGCCATGTTCTCCACAGGGTTCCTCATAGCAGCCATGACACTGTGTGTGTCTACCAACAGAGGAGTGGATTACAAATGTATCATTCTCTCTCTGGAATATTTTCAGCCTTATAGTGATACAATGTAGCCAATGGCAACAGATGGGTGATCATAGAATCTGATGCTAAGAAAAATAAACAGTACACAGAAAAAACAGATACTAAGAGATCTCATTTATTTGTGCACTATAAAGTTGTTAAATTAGTAAAATGGATGAAACCGGCAACAAAATAGCAAGTTCTCCCCTCCCAGACAGGGGAGGATACTAGGGTTAGGCTATGTGTTTTTCTGTAAATGTCAAGGACTATCATAGTTAATTGTTATGTATTGTACACTTGAAATTGCTGTAGAGGATACCTTAAATGTCCTTATTTGAAAAATGGCAGCTATGTGAGATGATGTATGTGTGGATTGACTTCTGCCAACGGTTTCATAACAGATTCACAGATCAGAACACGAAATTCTCTCTCTCTTTCTCTCTCTCTCACGTACGCACGCACGCAGGCATGCACACGCACGCATGCACACACACACGTTTTTGTCCACTATTTCTCACTAAATCTGAAAAATATTGTTTTGTCAGCCTTATTACCTGATTTTTTTATTTTTTATGTACAAATGGTACCTTTACTGGTACACTCCGAGTGGCAGGTAGACACCATCACATGGGCCCACTTCCGTTGGCTCCTAGCCTCCGCAAATCCATCTCATCCCCTCCACAGCGGGGTTGGATAGGGGCTCCAGACTCAGGCCTCGACATCCACCGTGCACTGATTAAAGTGTTTCAGGAAAGTCCTGGGCGAGGCCACCTACCCGTTTCTGGGCTGGCTGCCAACACAGTGGAAGGTGACTAGAGGAAGACAGGAAGACACGGTTGGTGCAGAGGGATGATAGGACTCAAGGTAACCCCAGCGGTCCTCAGGCGTGGCACTTCAAGCTGCATCTGCCCTGGCAGGCCTGCCTAAGGCACAGTGGCTGCACCGTGACATGAGATGAGCTGGGATTCTGAGGATCTACTCTATCGGACAAGTGGCTGGATGACGGCACATCTAGCTATTTTCCTTCGGGAGGCCCCAGAGTCACTGCTGTTGCTGTTGGGGCTACAGCCGCCTGTTCAGAGGCAGCTCTGGAATCCTTTTCGGAAATCTGCTTACGTTTCTCCTCTCTGGACAGTTATGAGGACTGGAGTGAGCAGGAGGCGAGCAGCCTCTGTACAGTTCTGACAGTCACCACAGCCCCCAGAAGTCCCCATAGCAGGGTGGGGACTCCAGAGAAGATAGCAGTGTGCGCGCCCAGTTCAGTGTCTGAGCTAGAGCATTGCCTGCACGTTGGGCCCGGAATGGACTCTTATCCTTAAGTCCAAACTGTTGGAGCAGCATTTCCAGCGTTGGGTGCCCCAGGGATACAGGTGGGAAGAATTCTACCCACTGGCCGTGCCACCATTGGCTCTGCCCCCCAGCCTTTGAGAACCAGTACTTACAGCGCTGGGCCCGCAGGTAGGTGGGTGGTTGCTCATGAAAGGGGTACTTGGCAACATGGTTCCGCACCAAGCAGATTACTGGCTCTTTGCCCTGCAGGAGACTTAGCACCAAGCTGGTCAACCAGGGGCTGTGTGTTTGTGGGCCAAGGGCGGCAAACTACATCTGCCAATTATGGTGTGTGCTGGTGGGGTATCACGATAGGGGTGGACGGCTCACATTTCCGGGTTTGTACATGAATTCTATTTCTGTCCAGTGCTGTCCATCATCGCTGCCCTCCAGCACCACTTCAGGCCACCCACCCAGACCAGTCATCCGACGGAAGAGGCCATATGAGCTGACCAGCTGTAGATGCTCCACAGACTGAACAGGCGACGAGCCCCAGTCCAGAGCCGCCCGTGGATCCCAGGCTCCATATAGGAGTAAGGTACTAGGCTTATCAAGAACAAGGCCACTGTGGCAGTGCCCAGGATGGAGAGCTGGATACTGGCAAAGAACTTCCGTAGCCATCTTTGCACTTGGATCCACATCCAGAGGACAATAAACAATTCCCAGGCCACGGAGGCTGCCCCCAGCCACACAGTAGGAAGAGTTACCATCTTCAGCCACTGGGAAAACTGGTGGAAGGTGAAGGTTGTTTCAGAGAGGATGCTATATGCTGCTGCCAGTCAACCTCCAGGCCAAAGTAGTACACAGTGCCATAGGCCAGCAGCCCATAGTCACTTCCAGTAGTATGGATAGCATGGTCAGCAGGACCTTAGGCCAGGAGGTGGGCATCTTCTTGTGGCATCTGAGGCCAGGCAGGTGACAGTCATCCAGGAAGGAAGTGGTAAACACCAAGGTTAGCAGGTTGAAGAAATTGTAGTTACCAGTAATGATAATCAGGACTTGTAATAATACCTGAGTACATAAGGTGGTCAACCATAGGTGGCAAATAGGAGGAAAAACAGATGAGGTTCTGGGATCTCACTGAGGAAGGTGGCCAACGCACTGAGCTTGTACAGCCAGACTGGCAGGTGGTGCGCAAACCAGGCAGCTGGTGTGGGCAGGCCCAGTAAGTCCCCACCATTCTGGGGAGCGGCTGGTCAGCTTGACCACACCAGAGGCAAACATGAGTTGAAACAGCAGCCAGAACACAAGTCAGAATGGGAGGTTTTCATGGGGTAAGGCCCCTGCTAGTCCACCCTGGTGGGCCTTGTGGTTGGAAGGCTTCTTCGGTGGAGCTACTAGTATAGCCAGGAAGTCTGTCTCCAGCAGCAGGGAATCGCACTGGAAATAAAGGAATACTTGGCCCACCTGACAGGTTGAGAAGTAGGCAACCCACAGCAGCAGGTAGGTGAAGGGTGTCACAGAGAATTCAGGAGTAGGGCACCTGGTGCTACCACGCTGCTCAATAGGGTCAGTAGATGCAGACCCTGGGCAGTATCCAGCCCTGGTCTTAATGCCTCCCAGAGCAGTGTTGGAGTTTTCCTATAGCTGCTGCCACTGACTGACTCTTGCCTTGGGGCCGTAGTGTTTTTTTGAGCAGGAAGGAGGCCCTCTCGGCCATAGAGGCCTGGGATCTGGGTGTAGAGGGACACAAAGGCAAACAGACAGCGGCCACATCCGCTCTGGTCCATAAACTTAGTATCAGCTGGTCCTTCAGGTCCTGCCCAAGACGCTTAACCATGCCCTTCAGCATAGGCCCCGCCCCTTTAGGTCCCCCTCTTTCTCCCAGGCGTCTTCCACTTTTTCATCACCTGATTTATTTTTAAACCACTTAAAATCTTGGCGATTTTCTTTCTTATTCCAGCCATTGCGGTGGGTACCTTTTCTGAGCCAGGTTCTGGTCACCTTAATTCGCTCTCACTAAGGCCCTGTTTCCTGTGTCCCATGCTTCCTGCTGTCTTCTCCTTTGATGATACAGGGTGAGCGGTCCATGGTCCGTGGAGATGCGCTGGATACTCAGGCATAGACTACTTCCCGGTGCTTGGAGCTAATGTTTAGTAGGATCCGAAAGGGAAAAGTATCCTCTTCCATTTGAATCACATTTTAGGGAGTCCTGCTAGACCTAGCAATTCTTATCTATGGAGTGACAACTCCACACTGCATTGTCTTTAGTTTTTTCGTCCCTCTGTTTCAGTCTTGCTGTAGTTCAGCCTTGACCACTGGGATAGACCAATGCCTGGCTTTGGGGAAACAGCCTGTGCTCTGGCAATGAGGCCTCTGTCAGTGCCAGATTATGTCAATGTTTTGTGGATCTCTGGTCTCCCTCTGGTTTTCTCTATTTGCTTCCCCTTACTTTAATCTGATTCCACTAAGCTACCACTTGGTCATGGGTGTCTCTCCACCCTCCAAACTGCTTTCTCTTTCCTTGGTGTGGCTTAAAGCTCATTTAGACTATTATATTATGGTGTAGGAGTTCCTTCTGTTTGTGTGTTGCTTTCATTGGTTAATGACTAAAGAAACTGCCTTGACTTAGTTGATAGGGCAGAACTTAGGTAGGCGGAGAAGACAGAACTGAATGCTGGGAGGAAGAAGGCAGAGTCAGAGAGCCTGAGTCAGACATGCTGAATCTTTCCCTGTAAGCCACTGTCATGTGGCGATACACAGATTAATAGAAATGGATTATATCAAGATGTGAGAGTTAGCTAATAAGGGGCTAGAGCTAATAGACCAAGCAGTAATTTAATTAACACAGTTTCTGTGTGGTTATTTTGGGGCTAAGCTAGCCGGGCAGCTGGGACAAACAAGCAAACCTCCATGCAATAATATTATGGGCTCAGTGTTCATAACTTTCATTTTATACCTGAAATTTACATGGTTCATTTTCATATTTTATCCTGCAGGCCATGTATAAACGATTTCTGAATATTTATCTTTGGATGATCTTCAAGATGTATACAAAATGCATTATATATGCTTTAAAATGTTTAAGTGAGAAGTATGTATTATGTATACAGAGTATACACAGTTTTCAAAAAGGAAAAAAGAGAAGCAAGTACTGGGTATAATAGACATTAGCTGCAAAAACGGGTGATATTGTCAGAAAGAATTCTAGCGTGATAGGAGGCTGGTAAAATCTGGCTGTATGTGCATGTCAAGTGTGAATCTTCTCCTCCAGCAGTAACAAAAATATTCCAGGAAAGACTCTGTTCCCAATAAGAAACACATTATTTTTTCTCATTTCTAACCAAGCCTATCTGGGATAAATGATACAGCTCAGAAATGGGGATTACTTAAAATCATGGAGGAATGTGAGCTTTTCTGTTCTAAGGCAGCCTTGTGTTATGGCTCTCAAGGGGGCCTGACTACCTAAATGAGTGCCCTCACTATCAGGCCAACATAAACATGTCTGGGAATAGGGCAGCGCTTTTATGGTTATCTGTCCCGGGAGACCTTGTTTTCTGGGAAAGACACTTTGACTACAGTGACTGCTTGCTTGAGAGTCCCAGTTTCAGTGGCCTCTCACAGAAGGAACAGCCTGGGGTCACATGCCAGCAGACTAGCCTCCCCAGATGCAGAAGCCTTTCCAGGTAATGGGAACAGAATGACAAACACTCTCCCAAGATCCTGATGTGTAGCTAAGCTGTAGCCATGGTCATTGCCCCTCCCTTTAATTTACCATCTTTGAAAAGTAACCACATTTCCTGGGGCAGCTTTTGAAGCTGGCCTGCTATCCCATCTCCAGGAAACATGCCAATCACTTCAAAGCCTTCTCTATCTCATTGAAATCCCATCTCTCCCAGCCTCCACCTAGTGTTTTTATGGTAGGGAATGGAACTGGCAAAAGAACGGGGAGTCAAGAGAGGAGTGAGAACCAGAAGAGAGATGGAGAACTTGCAAGTCTGATTTTTTAAATTGTTGTGTAATTTGTGTGTATGAGTGTTTTGCCTATGTACTGAGGAGGACAGAAAAGAACATTAGCTCCCTTGGTACTGAAATAAAGGACAGGTCTGAGCCGCTGTGGAGGTGCCAGGATTGAATCTGGGTCCTCTGGAAGAGCAGCCAGTGCTCTTAACTGCTCGGGCATCCCACAGCCAGTACTCAACAACTCCTGTTTTTAAATTTTAAGCTTTCGAGACAATATCGGCAAGTGAGTAGCACTCTTGGCTGAGACAAGAGGTTGGTTACACACCTTGAACTTTGCTTGTTGTGGCTCCAGTGTGCGTTCTTATTCTTTTACCTCATTGCTATGCAACGAAATTTTTACCTGTCCCTCTCCGATTATACTATGACAAGTATTTGTTGAGAGCGCACTAAGTACTGCACTCTGTGTTAGGTGTTGACCAAGGGTTACTGCATTGAATTCTCACAAAAGCACTGCAAGGTGAGTGTGAGCATCCACTCCGGGAAGATGCCAGGAGCCAGCTCAGAAATTGACTTGACCTGCGAGTGCACAGCAGCTGCCCTCCTCCTGCGCTCACCTTCCATTTAGAGAGCCTGTGAATGTTTCCTGTGGGGGAAAATTTCTGTCTCTGAGGGCAGTTTTGATTTTCTAGAAAGAGCCATAATTGGTAGGAACAGAGTGTAGGAGATTAAGTTAAGAAGTACCATGTTTGGGCAAAGAACAGGTGCAGACGTAGGGAAGGGGCCAGAGTGCAGCTTCCATGGAGTATCCTGCGTTGGTATTGTGGGCCCTCAGGAATTCTCGAAGGCTTGTTAATGATATTTATAGAATAGCATGTTTGAAATGTGGCAGGAATTTGGAGATTATCCTATTCACTGGAGAGAGTGCATGAATTAGGGAAGATCACCCATCTGGTATCAGAATGGAAAACAAAGCTCAAAGCCTCCATTCCAACCCATGGCTCCACAGTGCCTTTGGGTTAGTATGGGCCATGCTTGTGCCTTTTGGCACATCCTTCTTGGTCATCCCCTGAGGGAACACAGCATGGGGCAGATGAGTATGAAGTTCCTTTTCTCTGCTCTCTGTCTTATCTCTCTCTGTCATACAGTGTACCATATAACCTGTGCATTTACACTCACTGAGGAATTGAGGGTGACACTGACCTCTGGGTGATTCTTCCTCCACCTCTAAAGCACTGGGATTACAGGGTGCACCACCATGCCCACCGGAGAACAGCTCTTCCAAATTCCCAAAGCCTATGATTGACAGCATGGCAGTGCACATTTTCAAGAGTTGCAGTGTTAGATCTTAGTTCAAGGCTCCCCCCACAGTAGGAAATAACAAGACGGGGAGCAGCGTAGTGAGGAGTTGCGGGCAGGCCTGCTTTTCGCCTCACCCGGCTCCCGCACGGCTAGCTTGGTCCCAGAAATAACAATACACAAATTGTATTCATTTAAGCACTGCCTGGCCCATTATCTCTAGAGAGTTAGTTACTGACTAACTCTCATATCTTGATTAACCCATTTCTAATAATCTGTATAGCACCACGAGGTGGTGGCTTACCGGAAAAGATTCAGCATGTCTGACCTGGTGGCTGGCTCCATGGCGTCTGCCTCATAGCCCTCTTCCCAGCATTCTGTTCTGTTTACTCCACCTACCTAATTTTCTGTCCTATCAAGGGGCCAAGGCAGTCTCTTTATTGACCAATGAAAATAACACAATAGACAGATAACCCTCCTCCAACATTTCCCCTTTTTCTGTTTAAACAAAAAAGAAAGGCTTTCATTTTAACATAGTAAAATTACATATAACAAAACAGTTATCAAGCAAGAATTACAGTCACAATATTTATAACTATATCTTTATCATAATAATGGAAAACTATAACTATGACTATCCATTCTTCAACTCCATCAAAGACTCCAGAAGGATATAATATTACCTAAGTAAACAAGAAGTAAGCAACTTCCAAAACTCTAGAAATGACAGAGACATCTTGCTGCCTGGACAGTCACCCAAAGTTCCTCTGTATCGTTGGGGCACCCATCTTCGGTCTTCAGGCCCATAATATCCAGAGACATTTCCATGAAGCAGGAAATTTCAAAGGCAGTTCAGTCACTATCTGCTGTGTCTTGCAGAATGTCTCGCAGACTCTTTCATGAATCAGGAACCCGGAAAGATCATCTCACCTTTAGGCAAGTTCAGCAGAGCAGTGAGAAAACTCTCGGAGATGATGGATACATTTGTTGTACTGATTGTGAGAACAATATCTAGAGTGTGGGCTGACAACAAATTGTGTGCAGCACTGTAGCTCTCTGTGTTTTAACCTACAAAAATGAGTTGGGTTATCTCACCGAGAGGTATGCTCAACACTCCTGGAAAACAGATGAGGGAAAGGAACCTCCCAGAGAGGGAGCTGGCCCAGTAATCCCAGGCTGGCATCACCTCTGCTCTCCCCTTCCCTTCCAGAAGAGACAGAATCTTTGAGAAGCAGCGAACCTGCCCTTGTGTCTGAATCCTCACTGCTTACAGGTTTCAGATGGAAAAGCAGGGGTCTGAAGGGGAAATGATTCAGCTAAGACATTCTGGAGGAAGTCATCTCTCAGGACCTTATCACACACACAAGTCAGTTTATGCCTGCCTGGTTGGGCTGCAGATCTCGAGTGCAGTGCAAGCAGGTGTAGCAGGGGAGACAGGGACCTCAGAGCGATCTTACTTCAAGTCTGAAATCCACATTTTATTACTATGTGACTTGAAGAAGTTTAATTAACTAATTCCTTATTTTCTATTTGGGATTTTTTTTTTTGATTCAGAGTTTCTCTGTGTAGCTTTGGAGCTTGTCCTGGAACTAGTTCTTGTAGATCAGGCTGGCCTCAAACTCACAGAGATATGCCTGCCTCTGCCTCCCAAGTGCTGGGATTAAAGGCATGCGCCACCATCACCTGACCTTAAATGGTCCTTTTAATTGCTCATGGATTATATAAATAAGGCGTAATTAATATAATTATATATATTATACATATTGTAGTAGAGGATTATAGTAAGTCCCCAGTAAGTGCTACTTCTGAATATAGTGTAGAAATCCCAACTCATAGACTTCTCAAACCTTCACTTTCTTTCCATGACTCAGTCCTATGTATCCTGCATCATACCTTGGTCCACCTCTTGCTTCATCTTAGGTATGACAGATACTTTCATTCATTCGTTCAATTTCTATCTCAACTAGGCATTTTTGGTGCTTTTCTACTTTAGAGATTCCCTCAAAGCACACAGTGAAAATACCAGGGTCAGCCTTCAATAAAATAGGAGTTCTTGGCAAGGCAATTCCATAAGGCTATTTTAAAAGAGAGCCAAATACCCCTTATCCATAGTGGTGACCTCAGTAATAGCTAGATGGAACATTCTGCCTCCAGGATTACTCTGTTTGCTCTCTCTTCTTGTTTTCTAGAACGGTATCTGATTCTACTTTGCTGGAGTCTGTGTTTCAAATTGTTCTTTGCATACCCAGCTCATTATATCAAATATTTCTTCTGTAAGACACTGTTTATGTGATTTTCATAGACTTGTAGATTTTGCTGAAGACAATCAGCTAAAGATGACCAGAGCATGCCTGTAGTCATACAAAGCCAGCTTTATTAACTTGTGGTAGCTAAGGGGAGCATATCAGTGTTCCAAAAGGAGAGAAGTGATTGTATTTACAATGTGTGGGTTCTTATGTGTTATTCATATGGAGCTTTTAAAGCCAGAGGTTGTTTGGTGGTCGCATTCTTAGACTATGCTAGTCCATGCACTTAGAGTCTGGTAACACACGAATGGAAGGAACTGGCTTTACAAAATTTTGAGCTTAGATTGAGATGCCTATTAAAAATTAGGCAGAGACAGTTAATTTCCTTTATATTTCACATGCTAACATTTTTCATGGTTTTGTTTTCAATTTTTGGCTTTCCCTTCACAATTTAACTGCCAACAGGAACAATTTCTCTCTGTATCAGATTTTCAAGTCTCTGTCAGGTAAGATTCTCTAGATGGGGCTGGAGAGAGGGTTCAGCAGTCAAGCACACTGGCTCCTTTTCCAGAGGTCTGAGATTCAATAATTCATATCCACATGTGTCTTATCTGTAACTCCTGTCCAGGGGGATCAGACTTCTGGTCTCCAAGGACATTGAATATATGTGATACATAGATATATATGAAGGCAAAATATCTACACACACATAAAATAAATAAAAAATCTTTAATAAATAAGGAGAGACTCACAGACATAGACATAATGAAAAGACAGAATGGGATTTATATTATGGAACTGACTTGCATGATTATGGGGACTTGTTAATCCAAAATCTGCAGGGTTGGCTTCTAGATTGGAAGTCCAAGGAGGAGACAACATCACAGTTCAGGCCCTAAGCTATATATGCTGCAGAGTTCTTTCTCGCCCAGGGGAGATCAGTCTTTGCTCTATTCAGCCCTCATCTAATTGAGTAAGGCTTCTCTACATTACAGAGGGCAGCCTTTTTCTTTTTACAGAGTCCACTGATTTGAATGTTAATATCACTCAAACACACACCATCGTGAAGATACAGAGAAAAATGTATGTCCAAATATCTGGAGGTCATATCCCAGTCAAGTGGGAAAATGTTCGTCCCCACAGCGTCAAATGACTTCCCCTCCTCCACGAATCACCATTTTATTATTCTAATCAAGAAGATTTTGTTAAACTAACACATGATATTCACAGAAAGAACAACAAAGTTCTCTTGGAAGTTTTTGTTTCTGCCTTTTGGCCTTAGAAATGAAACCTATTACAAAGTTATAGGCAGGAAAAATTGTAAAGACAGTACCTAACTTACCCGAGTGTGTGCAATGACAGAAAGTCTTGCTGCCCTGCAGTTGGCTCCTCCTCAGGTTATCTGACAGCTACGCGCACAGCTATCAGCCTCTGAGAACTCTGAATGGCTGTAACACGGGCCTGCTGTAAATACAGCAGACTGTTGAGTTGCCGTCTTTTAGTCCTTCAGATTCAATAGCCTCTGTTTGCAGTTATTTTTAAAAGTCTTAATAATATATTTCCTTTAACCTAACATACCCAAACTTTTTATTTACTACATTAATGACATATAATTGACAATAAAATATTTTACAGCAATTGAAATGATTTTTTTTATTGTGGCAGATGCCTATTACACAAATTTCACCATTTAAAACATTAAGTGTACACTGAATATATTAATATTATTCTGTAGGTATCATTACTATTTATAGAACCTTTTCATCATTCCATTCTCTATGAAGGGAATATTGTACATGAAATAAGTTCATTCAACATCTTTACAGTTGTCCAAGCCATACCTGGCAGGCCCTTTCCACTGATGACAAAGAAGACTAGGGGATCTCTCATATCTCCCAACATTACTTTATAGGATTATATGAACATAAAAAAGTAGAAATAACACTGAACATTTTAAGATAAATTATCATGTCATTTGACACCTAAGTCAAGACTCAGACACTAGCACGAATTACCCATTTGAAAGATCTGACAGATACAGAACATAATACAAAGAAGACAAAAATCAATCAAAGGTATATAAGAGATGAAAAGATTGAAAGTTCCTTTCATCTGAGAAGAAGCAGGCTACTCTGCCACAAAGAGCAGTTTTTTTGCTCTCAAATAGGACAGGGCTAATGACTTAGCTCAAACACAAGAACATCCATGTTAGCACACAGCAGAGAGAAAACAGGATTTGTAACAGACAGAGGAAATAGATGGCAGATGTTAAACAGGAAGCAATATAACATGGTAGTAAAACAAATGTACTCAATTATCAAATTTAATTTAAAATCTTGGCACAGCACATACAAGAAAGTTTTTTGCTCATTAAAACCTCTATCATATGTTGTGATGGGCAAAAATGGTACCTGCTCTGGGAAAAGGATGAGATTATCATGGGGCCTGGGACATGTTAAGCATTCATGATCCAGTCATAAGCCTTGCTCTTTAGGACTTGGCTATGTTCCTGGGTAGTGAATAACAAGCTTGAAGTGAATGAGGCAAGCCTTGCTTACCATACTGTTGGCTTCATGGTCTACATTCTAGTAATTACACATAACACCTGAGCAACAGCTTCATGACAAAGAGAGGAGGAATAAAACAAATTTCATTCACGTCACAAGCCTGATCAGTTAGTTTAAACACAAATCCTAGTTGCCTTATCTAATATTACCTACATTTCTCATTTTAGAGCAGAGTCATTAAACCACATAATGTTCATTGATAGAGATTATTTCATGTTATATCCATGATGAAGATAAACCATACTCAGTTCACTATCCCATCCAGGGAAAAGCACGAATGTGCTTATGGGTGACTGGAATTAAGCAGGTATGATGAAATTACTATATTAAGCTATCAAGGACAAGGGTGATAAAATGGTAAGGGTCACGTGTTTCCTCCAGCTTCAATGTCCTTGTCACAGCTGATCTTAAACATAGCCAGCACTCGAGTTCTGATCTGCTTGGTCTTAGCACCGTAGATGATGGGATTAATCACAGGAGGCAGCAGCAGGTAGACATCCCCCATGAGAACATGCACAATGGGATCTAGGCTGTTTCCAAAACGGTGTACCACTGATAGGCCAATGAGTGGCACATAGAAAGCCAGAACCACACCAATGTGTGATACACAGGTCCCAAATGCCTTAGCTCGCTCCGACTTGGAAGGCAGTTGCAGAACTGTTCGTATAATCAGAAAGTAAGATAAGGAGATGAACATGACATCTACACCCATGACGAGCAGAATGGCAGTTAGACCATAGACTACATTGGGCAATGTGTCTGTGTAGGCCAGTTTCATCACATCCTGATGGACACAATAGGAATGGGAGAGCACATTGGAGTGACAGAAGGCCAGCCGCTTGATCAACAGTGGGAGCGGGAAAAAGAATAGGGATCCCCGGACCAGTGCCACCATGCCGATTTGAACTGTCACTGTATTGTTGAGCACAGCAGCATGACGCAGTGGGTGGCAGATGGCCACATAACGGTCAAAGGCCATGGCCAGCAGAATGGTAGATTCAACTGCTGAGAGAGCATGAATGAAGAACATCTGGGCCAGACAGGCATCAAAAGTAATCTCCCGGGAATCAAACCAAAAGAGGGCGAGGATCTTGGGCATGGTGGATGTGGACAAAGCCAGGTCAATAGCGGCCAGCATGCAGAGAAAAAGGTACATGGGTGCATGCAGACTCCGCTCCGTCCTCACGATGAACACCACGATACAGTTTCCAAACAGTGCCACGGCATACATGGAAAGCAGGGGGAAGCCAAACCAAAAGTGAGCTCCCTCCAGCCCTGGGATTCCGATGAGCACGAAGGTGGCATGAGTGAAGTTGCAGGAGCTCATCGCTGACACCAAGTGGGGAGGTCTGGAGAGGGCGAGGTCGCAGTGACAGCCTGCAAGGGCAGGAAGCGGGATCAGAGAGTCGCTGGGAACTTAGTGCATACTAGCACTCTCTCCCTTCCCCTCTCCCTCCAACCACACCCCAGCTCTTTCATATGCTACACGGCTCTCTTTTCCAAAGAAGGAAATGTGAACTCTCAGAATTCACTTGTTTCTCACTATTCCTAAGGCACACTTAAAATTTCCAAATAAAGCTTTGGTAGAAATTTTTTTTCCCCATAATGTGACTTCCTCAGACCTCCTTTTTACCTCTACCTTCACTGTCTGGATACTAGGCATTCCCATTTCATAAGGTTACCGTAGTAACTCTCTTTTCAGATAGAGCTGTCACCCTCAGCTCTCTCTTCCTGTCTCTTCCCTGCAGCCCACCCTCCTTTGCCTTACTCCATCTTTATTTCTACTTTCTTCCTTTACCATTTTCCTTCTCTCTCCCCTTCTCTCTTTACATTTATTGATTCAGATTTCAGAAATATTTTCTTGAATGACATGTTTAGTACAATGCTATTAGTGAGACACATATCTGAGAGCCATCCCTTTTGACCTCCACAAGGCTTGCTTAGGGTAGGAAATGGATAAGTAATAAATCCATTAGAGCATTGTGATAAAGCTAGTGTAAGAGATTCATTGACTGCAGGGATGGCAAAGACAGAGCAACCTTCCTAGAAATGATGCTCTTTAAATTTCAGCCTTAAAGCGTGAGCAGAATTAAGTAGTCAGAAGAGACAATAAAGGCTCTTCTAAGGTAGGGGAAATCGAAAGTATTTTTCAAGTAAAAAGGAAAAAGAAAAGAAAAGAGAAAGGAAACTTATCTGGATTTATAAAACAAAGATACTACCTCCTGTAACCAGCTCTGTGCAGATGGAGGTGCTGGCAAGATCCATCACCTCCAGCGGATCCTAGCGACTAGGCATGTTCCCTCTGATAGCTTCTTCCATTGTTCCTGGCCCGCAGCCAGGGTCTGTATACCTGGAAGTCACTACCAAGGGTATTTTCTCTTGTCCCAAAGAGAACTCGGGGGATAAGCCCTGATTTGAGGAGCAGTATTACTGATTTTTTTAATGATATTCTGAGGAATTTTCTTGGGATCTGTGCCAATAAGTCATTCATGGCAAGGGAGGACTTTCTTTTCTTTTCTTTTTTTTTTCCCCCTAGAGTTCAGTGTTGTTTTGTTTCAACTCCATACCCCACCCAATCAGCTAGGCACCCACATCAATCTCTTTCTCTGTCAAGCTCCCTAATGTTCTGTTTTTGGAACCGGTTAACTTCAGCAGTTGTGGGCTTGGCTGTGAGAGCCGGGGCCTTTGATGCTTAAGTAAACGATGCAGGTGTCTTTGTTGACAGTGTCCAGGGTATCCTGATTAATTTGTTTATCTCTCCCAGGATTCTTTCTCCTTTCTAACTAAGGTCTTTAATACAGCTTGGCTTCTCTTCCTTCAACTTCTCCTTAATGGAGAGAGCTTAGAGAACTGATGCTTTAATCACAATTAAACAGGAACTAAGACATTTTAAGCTGCAATCTCCCTGTCTTGATTCAAAGGTTATAAAACCCATATCATTGATTGTGATTTTCTCCATTCCTAGGGTTTGTGCACGCAAAGGAACAGCTTCCCCTCACTGACAAATATCGAATTCTAAACCCTGCTACCTGATACTGTCAGAGATAATTTCACTTTTCAGTGAGATGCAAAATAGTCTCAAAAGAGTGAGACAATGACCTAACAAGAGCTGTGAGCCCAGCCTAGCTCAACACACACCACTAATCCTTCACAGGGCCCCAAAGAAGTACATATGCCACTCTGCCTGGGGAGTTGCACCCCAAGTGGCCTCTCTGGCTTATCAAAGACTCAGACTGTGACCTCTGACAGTTTCTCTGTCAAAACACCCACTCCCCATTGCCACCCCCCCTCCTGATGTGGAACAGTCCTGTGTGTTTTTATTTCTATCTTGAATCCAACCATCTGTTTTTTGTATCTATCGTAAACAGCTCATGGGAGAGAACGCAAATGTCCCAACAAATGACTCTGTGTGGTAGAGGACAAAGCAAAACAACCTTCCCTGGAGGGAGACCATTTTACTTGACCATTGTACCCAAGAGAAATGGGGACAAACGAGAAAAGAAGGTAGGTGGGAGGTGTACCAAGAAGCAAAAAGTCACGTTTCACATTCTCAATAGCTTCTGCTTATTTAAAGATCTCTCTCATCCAGAGTCGCCTGTTTTCCTAATCCACCCCACTGTATAGCATCTGTCCAGCCGTGGCGGTGCTTAAAACACAGTAGTGTCTGTTCCATTTTGTGTCATTTTAAAGGAAGTAACACTATTTTTCTAGGCTACATAACCTTAAAATGTCTACAAAGCACTAATATAAACAGTAAAATAGCAAGGTTATAGCATTGATAGCAGTCTACAAAGCTCAACATTTCCATACAATACACTGAAGTATCAGAAATTGATCTTCCAAAAACCTTTTACTCACAACAGCATCAACAATAATGAATTTAACCAAAACTAGTAGAAAATTTAAATATTGTGATTTGCAAACTATTCCTGAGATAAATTAAACATAGTATCTAACAAATGGGATGATGCACTGTTCATGGATTAGAACACAAAACTGTATTGAGTAAAGCTTTTCTCTAGGATGATATGCAGATTTATTCTAATCGCATTGGGGTCTCTCTAGGCAGTTTGAACATCAGTTTTTAAAGTTAGTATGCAAAGTAAAAGATTTACCATGACATTTTCATGGAAATGTGTGATTATATGTTGTTCTTATTCAGTTCCTCACCATCCTCTTCCTGGTCCCCTTTACACCCTCAGATATTTCCCCCTTGTGCTTCTTGCTACATGAACTGCATAACCCTCTTCCCTTCTTCTTATCCCTCCTTCTTATTTTAAATCTCCTTCATCTCCTTTGACAGTTCCTTTCTATTCTCTACACACACACACACACACACACACACACACACACACACACACACACTCAGAGAGAGAGGGAGAGGAGAGAGAGAGATTCTGCATATGACAGCACAAGTAATATTTGTCATTCTGAGTCTAGTTTAATTTGCTTGACAGAATGATCTCCAGTTCTATCCATTTTTCTATAAATGGCATTACTTCATTCCTTATAGTTGAGCATAATTCTGTTATATGTCACCTGCTTTCCTGGAGAACATCAGCTAAGGCACTGGGCTTGTCTTGTGATGAAGTCCGTGGGGTCTTCAAGGTGTCTCAATGCGGCAGGATCCTCGGGCTGCCACTCCCCACAAGCCAGCACTCACCTGAGAACGGGACAGTTCTACTCAAGGAGACAGCTTGATCTGGCTCTCGCTCTCAGGAGCAGGTCTCTTTATAGTGCTCCTCAGTAGTCAGGGAGCAGGCTGTGGGAATACCAGCGGGTGCTCTAGGGGTCTGGCAGACAGTGGAGTACAAGGCTCAAGTCCACTCATCTCGTGTGCTGCTCTCATAGGCTTTCCACTTGTCCTGTCTTGGGAAACAATCTCAAAGGGCCAAGGTCTCCGTCACCATTCCCGCAATGACATATGTGAGTCTCTTGACAACAAACACGTGTTCCCACTCCTCCGAGCTGATCCAATTTCCACAGTCAGTCACAAGGTTAGAGTTTCCTCATTATCTGATTTGCTAGACACAGCAGGCAAAGTGTAGGAATAGTCACGATCGATCCTTAACTGTTGGAGTTCACGTTGGCCTTAAATCCCAAGCAGGGACACTAAAATGTAGTTCTATAACTAAGCAGCAGTAGGAAAACTCTCTGCTGCTTCTCTTGCAGTTTAATCATAGCCCCTGATATAAAGAAGTCACTTCTTTTTATACCTATGCTGTGGGCAAAGATGGCTCTTTGGTCTATATCTTATACTGATAACGTTAGACGGAGAATCTCATGTATTATTTATTTATTCACATTAAACCAGTGTTTGCCAAGAGCCTGTAATTTCATAAGCAAAATTGAGAAAATTTCCAGGGTTATGAAGTACATTTTTTGATTAGATTGGCTGAAATCAAATTAAATTAACATATAAACTAAATAGAATGCTAGACGATCATAAGGAGAAAAAAATGAAGAGGATAAAGAACATGTTAATATCAGGAGGAAGGCTTGAAGCCTCAGGTGAAGAAGATAAAGAACATGTTAATATCAGGAGGAGGGCTTGAAGCCTCAGGTGAAGCTGCTGGATGGAGGAGATACTTAGATAAGTGAGGGATACACGCATAAAAATATCTGGGGAAGATTGCTTCAGACAAAGGATCAGAGATGGTAAAAAGTTTCCCAAGGAATAAGTATGTCCAGCACGTAAGAACAGACAGGCAGTGTACTCCAGTGGAGAGAAGGGGGAGAGGGCAGTGCGAAAGGAGAGTCAGAGAACTGCCCATAGAGGGACTTGTAGCACTGAACAGTCAATTTATGTTCTTCCCTCAGATCTCAGTGAGCTGAGGATCCTTACACAAAGTCAGACATAATCCTACAAACTAGTCTTCTCTACTTGTCTCCTCCACATGAATTTGTTTTTATTGATCCATTAGTGTTCATTCTGGCCTTTCTTTCACTGTTTCTTTTGAATGACTTCAAGTCTTTTAAATTTAGCTAAAGCACCACATTCATCAAGAAGCGGCATCTCTAAGCCCTCTGGTATTTCTTCCCTAGCGCCATGTGCCCTCCTTCATATCCATACGGGTATGTCTTTGATTGATGTTTATCTTGCCTTGTCTCCTATTCCTTCTTGGTTTGCCTTAGATCCATCTTACCTTGTCATTGTCACTCTAAAAACAAAAATATAATTATTGTTTTTAAGTATCAAGATTTATTATACACCTATGTTCAGGAGTGTGTTCTTTCACTTATTGTGTAAAAGCATGTTCTCTCAATACTGGTTTTATGTAGACTCCATATTGAACTTTAAGGAAAAGAGATAACTAGGATCAAGCCACTACCTTAAGATGCTAAAATAACATCTACACATTCTTGACGTAATATAGAATAATAGCAAATATCAGTGATTTTTTAATGAGGACTTGAATTGGGACATTCATTAATCAAGGGTGTGTCCAAGAAAGAGCTTTTTTAAAAATTAAATTTAATGTGTATGAGTATTTGTCTGCATATATGTCTTTGTACCTTGTGTCTGCAGACCCCAGAAGAGAATATCAGGCCTCTCTGGAACTAGAGTTACAGATGGTTGTAAGTTGCCATGTGGGTGCTAGGAGTTACACCCTAGTCCTTTGGAAGACATCCAGCGCTCTTACCTGCTGAGCCATCTCTCCATCCCCCAGTAAAAGGTGGTTTTTTGTTTGTTTTTTTGTTATTTTTGGTATTTTTATTATTATTATTATTATTATTTTTGCAGAGCTAAAGCACAGAAGACACAGAATTCTCTAAGTAGAGCGGTGTTTCTGGAGCAATATAAAAAGAAAAGAAATTAAGAGGGCAAATAGATGTGAGTTAAAGTAAGCTGTGAACTCAAGGCTTCATTCTCTTGGTTCATATCAAGGACATCCTAATTACATATGTGTATTAAATTGCACTTCTAGAAGTTGTTTGAAGTATGCATTTCAGGAAGATAAGATTAGATGTGTGTATGAACTTAAACTTAAGATGTACACTTTTTCCTCATTGCCCATAGTTAATTCCTCAACCCATCTTGTCCAATTTTTCTTCTCAATATAATACCCATATCACTGTTTTAGGAAAAGTCTCTGACTCACAGTGGAGAACCAACTTGGCCAGAGCACAACATTTGCTATGTGGATTTCCCATGCTCAGTGTCAGGTTGTCCATTTATAACTACAGACACTTACAGTTTCGAGGGTTGTCTACAGGTTAGTGTGTAGATGTAAGCTGAGAGGCGTATCTTCCGAAGTGTCATAAAAATCTGAGCATCTGACTCTTAAAATTGAGATTTCTTCTTATTTATCCCTATTAAAAAGTTAGTTAAATAGAACAAACAGACTTGGATGGAGTTGGGAGAAGGGTTGGAATAGAGGCTCAAACAGGGAGTGGAAGAGTTGGTCACGGGAGGGAATACAGGGAGAGATAGCTAGAATTATGGAGTATTTGTGGAAACCTAACATGGCAGAAACTTCCTAAAATATATACATATACGAAGGTGATCTAAATGAAATTGCCAAATAATCAGGGAGACAAAGTCCCATCTGGCCACAATTAAAATAATAAAGAAAAAATATTTAATTTTTTGAGATTAAAATATAATTACATAATTTCTCTCTTATTTCTCTTTCCAAACTATCTCATGTATCCCTTCTTGCTCTCTTTCAAATGTATAGCCCCCTTTTTATTATTTGTTTAAATTTATATGTATATTATATATATTATATTCCTAAATGCATAAATCAAAACAGTTCAGTCTCTACTCTGTTACTTGTTAATATATTTTCAGCCCTGATTGTTTGACATTGACTAACTAATTGATGTGTTCCTCTCCAATTCTATTTTTTTTTTTGAGATGGGGTTTCTCTGTGTAGCCCTGGCTGTCCTAGGACTCGCTCTGTAGACCAGGTTGATCTTGAACTGAGAGATCCACCTGTCTCTGCCTCCTGAGTGCTTAAAAGCAGGATTAAAAGCCTGCACCATCACTGTTTCTTTCTCAATTTTAAGACTGAATATTGCCATCTTTCACTCCCAGCTCAAGTCATTCCTACCCTGTCTGTCATTGCTCTCCAGGTATCACACCTTATGCAGTGAAGTAAGCAAAATCTAACATTTAAACACGCATTTTTTTTTATCTCCCCATCTTTCCTTTCTGGATTTTTCTGCAGTTATTTTTATCTTTTATCTTTGCTTCATTATAGGTTAGGACCATATGAGGAGCATAATCCATGAGGTTCAGAGAACAGACTAGAATGGGAGCAAACAGAAATTGGTTGTTTATTCAAAATATTAATTATCCATGTAAATGTCTCCTTAACTTTTTTGCTTTTAACTCATGTTTATTAAGGAATATACAAAGGAAGTTTTATGTTGGAGAGAGAGAGAGAAATAAGACTGATGGAAATTAGGGCAAGGTGTTGCTAAGCCAAGAGGACTCCTTGCATGGCATCCTTCAAGATGAAAAGTTTCATGAATAAATATGTTGGGAACTATGAGAAGACTGTTATGGTCTTGTACGCTACCCAAATTCTTATACCTCTTTTAAGATCTTATGTATTTGTTCATCAGTTCAACTGAGGCTAAAAGGCAGTATGGAACTAGGCGTGGTGGCATACACCTATAATTACAGTTGCTTAGGAGTTTAGGGTAGTGTAGTGTCACCATGGGAATTTTGTGAAACTATTTTAAAACCAAACCAAAACAAAACAACCAACAAGAAAGAAAACCTAAAGATACAAGGAGCCAGACACTATGAATAGAAGTGCAAAAACAGAGCAGCAGTGGATAAGATGCGGTTCCTGGTCTTGAGAAGGGTTCCTGATGTAGCAATAGAATCTAAAGAGGCTCACCACGAGAAATAAGCAGAAGGTGGTGATGGTGCATCTGGGTGGAATGCAAGGGGTCTGGGAGCCTCCAAATAAGTGACCTCTCTTCTAAGAGGGAGGGTGACGGTAGTGAATACTACTGTAGGTGGAGATAGCAGCTTGTGCAAAGGCTTGAAGTGACAGAGGAAAATGAGAATAGAGGAAACGTAACTTTCTTATGGGCTTGGATTACTGTACAGAAGATAAAGGGTTCTTAAGAGGTAAAGGGAGACAGGACGCTCAGAGGGAAACAAATTTCTTATCCTCAAAATCCTTATCTTGTGATGGGAAACAAGCAAAACAAAACAAAGCAAAACACCTCTACTCCCTAGTATATAATAGGTTGGGTGTTGAAAGAGCCAGGAATTAAAAAAAAAAAACCAAACAGGTACTAGAGGTGGTGGTGCCTGTCTTTAATCCTAGCACTTAGGAGGCACAGGCAGAGACAGGTAGATCTCCATGGGTTTGAGGTCAGCTTGGTCTACAAGTGATGTGGAATTCCCCTCTGTATGCTGTGAATGCCATTGGTTAATAAGGAAACTGGCTTGACCTGATAGGGTAGAGCAGAGCTAAGCAGGGAAAACTAAACTGAATGCTAGGAGAAAGAAAGACAAAGTCAGAAAGAAGCCATGTAGCCCCACCAGAGACAGATGCCGGATCTTTACCCGGTAAGCCACAACCTTGTGGCAATACACAGATTAATGGAAATGTGTTAATTTAAGATATGAGTTAGCCAGGAATACACCTAAGCTATTGGTCAAACAGTATTGCAAATAATCTGGTTTCCTGTGTGATTATTTCAGGGCTGAGCAGCTGGAAACAAAAAAGTGGCCTCTAACAACAAATTGGTGCACCAACGTGGCCAACTAAAATTCACTTAAAACCTGAGAGGGCTCGAAAAGGAATTCCAGACACAAAAGATCAGAG